ATAATGGACACCAATTCACCATCATTGACTGTAAGTTTAATGTTAGTGAGGACGGTGGTCAGACCGTGGCTGTCGTGTATCTCAGGTTGCGCATGCGAAAACTGTGCGCGATACACATTAAGGCGTGTATGTGTAGGAAGCTCCTCGAGGAGCGTAGTGCCATCTACCTTAGTATGATTTGAACTTGTGTCCTCGGACATGCTACAGTGTTGCTGTTCAACATCTAAACGCATATGCGAGGGCAGAGCGGGAAGTTCCGACAGTGCGAAAAACCCATCAAATCGTCTGCCTGACACAATAGCCTCTGCCAAAGACAGCCAACCGAGTGGCATGACAAAGAGAACTTGGGAGAGGGTTGCGAAATATGACAGCGTACTGAAGACGAGGCCCGGGGAAAGGGGGTTATTGAAAATGAGGGTATAGGAGGCAAACGTTACGAGGACGACAATTTGCGGGGCGGCAAAAAACAATGCAGCATTCAGAGCGCGAACGACTCCCTGAAGCTTCAAGTGGCGGACCTCGACACCTCTGAGAGTGCGGACAAGATTGAGGAAATGAGACTCCCAAGCGGATAGCTTAATGGTGCGAATGCCCGAAAGGACCTCGCCCATGGTTTGTATGCGAAAGTCGGCTTCCTTTGTGATGCGTGTGCGGGTGCGACAAACAAAGCGGGAAAACCAAATCTGGGTGGGGATGAGCAAGACCAAGACGGCCATGCCGAGAAGAGCCGAGACGCCGAGGTCAATAACTAGAAGCACTCCGATGACAGTGATCTCGATGAAACCAAACCAGCAGCCATGAAAGTAGGTGTAGGCATCGACGATGCGTTGCGTATCGTTGACGAGCAAGTTGCCAATTTCGCCCTCGGACGTGTTCGACCGAGCACGCGGAGACAAGCGAAGCATCTTGCGAAAGATTTCGGCCTGTAGAGCGGCGCGCGCGCGCCAACCCTCGCGGACGGTGTACGCGTAAAAGTTGTGCGAGGCGATGCTCATGAGGATGCTGGTCAGGGCAAGGGCGACGGCGACGGGGAGGTAGGCATACCGCGAGACGGCGGGCGGGGGGTCTGCGGAGGCGAGGGTGACGCGGGTGACGAGGACACGGATGGCGAACGCTTGTCCGACGGCGGCGGCCAGCCAGACGGGCTTGAAGCAGGCGGCGAGGGCGAACCGGCGGAAGGTGACGGGGATGAGAGCGCGGATGGATCGGGAGACGCAGCGGGCGGGGACGCGCTCGGCGAGACGTAAGAAGGGGGGGAGAGCGGGGTTGGGCTGGTTTAGTTGTTCAGCGACTGGGGATGGAGAGGAATCGCGCAGGGCGAGATGACGGAAGGAGGTGTAGAAAATGGGGGCGACCGTGGCGGTCTGGTCTGAGGGTGCCAGCGGGGGGAGGTCGTCCTGCTGGAGAGCGATGGCTGTGCCTCTCGCTATAAGGGGATAGATCCAGAGGAAGAAGAGCTTGCTAAGGACGGAGGCGTCGCGCTCTGCGCGGGGCGCCAGTTCAGGAGGTGTGGCGGTGCGGCGGCGGCGGAGCATGACACTTATGGGGGCCGGGAAGGGGGTTGGGAGTGGGTCGGATAGTGGGGGGGCTGTTGGGAGGAGGATTTTGGGCGGGCGG